GTAATTTTCAGGTATTTGGTTGCTCGAGCGGAGGATTTCTCAATGCGAAGTTGGCCTCGTAGACAGCTGAGCTCCTTTGTGAGATGCAAACAAGTTTCGATGCGTGAGTCATCTCATATCAGGACGAGAGCTGTGATGATTTCCAATATCTCGACACGGAAGTGCTTGTGAATCAATGCATACGGCCACTTGGTGTCAGGTGAGTTAGAATTGTACATATCAATGGAGTTTCGCTCTAGTGATATGAAAAACACTAGTGAAAAATATATTTCACGACTACTGCATACCGGGAATTTCGCGTTTTTACGCCACTTCACGTGAAACGGGTTAAAGTCTAGTGTTGGAGAATATGCACACGGTCAATGTTGGTGACAATTGTGAAAATTCTGAGGAAAATTGAGGAAATTATCGTTAGTTTCTGTACAGTCCTACCAGAATTGGTATGTTCACTCCTATTATTAGTGAGGAAACTCCTGAACTCAGCCGAGGAAAGCGAGCATTTATTCCAACATTGTTGCATATACATTTTCCCTGTGTAAGCAAGTACAGTGTAAGAACCAAATTTGACTCTGAGAATTCGATTCGTGGAGTTTCACCCGTTTTACGTGAAGTGGCGTCGTAAAACTCGGTGAAAAAAATATTCGCAATACTCGCGAGCTCTAGTAGTCGTGAAATACGTTTTTCACTAGTGTTTTACATATCACTAGGGTGAAACTCCAATATACAATCAAAATTGACAATGAAAATTCAAGTTGGTCGCGTCTTCGTCAGTCGAATGGTGTTGACGTATACAGTGTAGTTTTATCTGTTTAAAGTGAAGTGGCGTAAAACTCGATGAAAAATGCGAAATATGTTTTTCACTAGTGTTTTTCATATCACTAGGGTGAAATACCATTGTGTTAGATATGTGGCCTCAGTGTACTGGGTGGTCACTACAGTGACAACGGTTGGCTATGGTGATATCACTCCTAATACTGCACTAGAATATGTAAGGACATTCATCAGCTCCAATGTTGTTCGTGTCATTTGTTGAACTTCTACATAACAAGGAGAAAATTTTGAGGGAATTTCAGAAAAATTTTTTTTGTTTTTTTTGTAAATTTTCAACCGAAGTCACGTGTAAATTTTCTTTCTATAATTTTCTGAATGTCTCTGAGACTAGCTTGACTGGTGTTACTCAACCTAGTCTTAGCGAAATTCGCGATATTTCAGAATTTTTTCGAGAACTGTAGTTTGATCTAAGGAACTCTCACAGGTGTTCGCCATGGCGATCATGTGTTTGGGCGTTGCTGTTTACGCCCAGATCATCAGCCGTGTTGCTAGTAAGCTCAGGAGCAGTGGCTCGGCCGTTTAATATTCTAGCAGATATTTTGGCCCTTCGGGATAAGAATAGAAAACTGAGAAATCAGCGATTGTCGCATCTGGTGGAGTTTTGCTCGAATGCTGAGATCGACCTGAAACTCATAAAAGATCTAAGTTAGTTTCGAGCCTTTCATCGTGTTTGCAGTGGCGTGCTAGATGAACTTATGCTGGCGCATACGGAAACAGACACTTCTTTGAACCCGCAGCAGGTCGCGACTATCATGGGCACATTTCCAATGGAGGTGAAACTCAGTGTTGAAGGAATATAGGTTTGCTTTCCTCAGTAGATGTCGTGAGTTTCATTGCTGATTATAGGAGCTCATATATACGAATTAGGGTAGAAATGTTCCAAGACTAAGAATAACTTTCGAAGAATTTCCTCGATTTTTCACACTGTCACCAACACATGTAGTTGTCCATGTGCATATTTTCCCACAGTGGTATCACTCATCGAGCTTGATATTGGAGATAAGAATTTCGCGTCAGTATGAATGTCTTGAGTGAGCGGCCACTCCCGAGTACTTGATTCTGCTTTTGAGTTGAAATGAATTCGTATAAATAAAATTAATAATTGTTAAAATATTGAAGTTTCACCCGTTTTACGTGAAGTGGCGTAAAACTCCGTGGAAAACGCGATATTTGCGCCTGGCAATAGTCGTGAAATATGTTTTCCACTAGTGTTTCTCATATCACTAAGGTGAAACTCCATTGTTATTATCCATTGTCGGGAGCGCCTGCATGTAGGTACGTACTAAACTAGCATACTCGATGCACGGCGGTCGGCATTTAAGTCTGGACATCTTCTCGGACTCCCGCAACAAGAATGCTCTGGTCAGCACGCAAGCACATGGCAATACTGATGGTAAAAATGTCAGATCTGTCATCTCGCGCCTCTACTACAGCGAGTAGTGAAGCGACCGATGGATGACAAAAACGGCCTCATATGGAAAGAAGGTGAATTCGGTATTCCCATGGGCGTCTGTACATGCTCCCAGTCAGGTGACATCGCAGATCAAGTCGTGTTTGTTGTGAGAGGACAAGTCGGTGTCGAGGCACCGTTGGAGAATACACAGGAGGAAACTAAGGGAAGTAAGTTTAGGCCAATGGAGTTTCACCTTAGTGATATGGAAAAGACTAGTGAAAAACATATTTCACGACTACTACAGGCCGCGCAAATCGCGTTTTTCACCAAGTTTTACGCCGCTCCACGTCAAACGGGTGGAACTCCAATGTATAGTAGAAGTTGATTGGTTTCAGCAGTATTGGAATATATGTTCGCTGTAATCAACCAAGCTCAGCAATTTTCTCACTAATTATAGAAGTCTACATACAAATTCGGGTAAAAGCGTGCACAGAAAATAACAAGAATTTCCCAAAATTTTCTCGGAATTTTCACGCTGTTACCGCCACATGTAGTTGACCATGTGCATATTTCCTTACACTGCTCCTCAGATGCCCCGCGACCACCTCTGTGGTTCTATAAGGAAGGAAGCTACTTTGGTGAAGTCGAGCTATTCTGTCAGGTGAGTCTACTGCGGTTGTCCATCCTGCTCGAGCGGGGTGGAAAATCTCATAAAGAGTGTATTTTTTTTTCTTGGACAAATGCGAAAATCTTGTATTTCACGTTAGTGTTTCAGGCTGGACAATTTTCAGTATAGTATAGCGGTGATCTATCACATACTAGAGTGACACGATCTTGTTCGTGAAATAAAAAAATATCGAATCTCTCCGAGAAAAAATGGGGAAAGTAATTCATTTTCAATTTGACCAAATTTCCTCGCCGGTTTACATTGATTGCGATCAGGAGCATCGGCAGTTCACCGTTAGAGCCTACAGTGATGCAGAGCTGTTTGCCTTGGATGCGGCCGCGCTGTTTCGTGAGTCCTCGGTGAATGTTGAGGCGAAACCACTTTCATTTTTCTAGAGACTTTTTGTGCCTTTCCACATCTGCTGATGTCGATGCAGCGAGATGCCACGGAGAAGCTCAAATATGTATGTCTTCATCATCGACGCCGTTTCAGATCTCACTGCTGTTTTCTGCATAGTTTTGCGTTCACCCAAGACTTCGCACTGAGCAGTTCAGAGCATCCCTCAGAACAGGGCGGAATTTGGTTGCCCATCGTGAGTGTTGGCAACAGTAGACTTCGCGTAAGTTTTGGTTTTCAGATCGAGAAGGACGTGGTGTTAGTGACATGAGCGACTTGGGGATCCCCCGTGAGAAGATCGACAATTCTGGAGTCCTCTCTTACCACCGAGAATTCTCCCGAGGCATGGGCGACTATTCGCATTCTATTTATTCTCTTTCCCATCAGGTTCATCGAACCACAAGGAAGTAAAACTGGGGAAAAGCGATTTGGTCGGTCCCCGGGGTCTTTCCGTTTCGATAAGCAACCTTGCTTTAGATGGATGAAAGCGACGATTCAGCATCACCGTACGAGGACACTTCCAAGTTGGCAAAACGCCAGGAGCTCCTTCTGCGACTTGTAAGCTCGTAGAAGTCTGACCGCTGTGAATTCCTTTCAGGTGAAAGATGATCTGTTGCCAGCCCTCGACGACATGGAACTCAAACTCCGTAGCGACTCCACGACTCCGACCGATTCAAGAATTTTTTTTGCTTTATAGATACTTTATTACTCGCCCAGCAGAGAACAGTGACCTGAGTCCCGCCCGTATAATATTTTTACTTAGTGCGTGCTATTAGTTGTCGTTATGCGAATTTGTCTTGACTAATTATTGTTCCGCATATTAACGTATTACTTGTGCTATTCGTTTCGTTAGCTGCTCGCAGCTGCAGAATATAAACTCTATTGAGTACTCTAATAAACAGCAACGAGACTGTCGTCTCTTGGCGCATGCTTTCGTTGTATTCAACATATTGTGTTTAGTCATCAATTCTACGGAACTATACGCGACAATATGCTCACGTCGAACTTCGATGAGAGATAAATATAATCTGTATACCATCGATGTAACGCATTTCTCACGTTGATGACTCGGGAAACGCAAGCATTCCCACTCGAAAAGACTGTGATCAGATCACGAGCATGAATGCGTACAACATAGCAGCCGTTTAAATATGTCTTCATTCTTCTCCCAATCCTCCACAATGACTCCCAGGGCGCACATAGTGGGCGCCGAAAGTTTGTGAGCTAAGTTATATGCTAGCTGGTGGAGGTCATCCACTACAATGAGTAGTTTAGATATGTTCACTTAGCGGATCTCATTGAGTGACCGTCCCCGATAAGCCAGCAGTGAACATATACACCTCGACACCCTCAAACACCTCCTCACCAGAGAGGTGTATGGCCCAACACACGTCCAGTTGCTCTTTGCATCAAACATCTACCGAGTCCAGATTTGTCACAGTTAACTTGACAACACGAATCATTTCCATTTGAGAATGAGGGCCTTGAAGTGTATCCATTCGACCATTAGCTTCTATCAGAAGAGCCTCATCGAATCAAATGATTCCACCCTCTACTGCTGGTTACACTGCTCAGCACTCTGCTCAGTACTGTAATAACTTGGCTGATTAGGTTGCTGAAACAACATTCAACAGTAATCGATCATCTGGGCGTGCGCTAAACGGTCCAGCACTTACCTGTGTATTCCACTGCGGTTGTTGCTGTTGTTGCTGCATCCTCAACTGAGCCTGTTGTCGCTGCAGTCTAGCCTGTTGTTGCTGTTGTAGGCGAGCCAAGAGCGTCGGGTCAATCCTGAGGGCATTACAGATGCCACACCTCCCTAGTGGACCCCACCTCCTACTGCTGTTGCTGTTGAGCAGCTCTCTGCTGGGCCATAGCCGATGCCAACATCTGCTGCCGTTGCAACTGCTGCTGCTGCTGTTGCAACTGTTGTTGCTGCTGTTGCAAATGCTGTTGTTGCTGTTGTTGTTGCTGTTGTTGTCTTTGTGCCTGTGTGGTAACTCCCCCCTCCAAAGACCCCACCACCATCACA